AATAAAAATTCTAATAAAATTTTTAAATTACATATTTTTTAATTTTTTTATATTAGGGGCCTATTTTTTATTTTCGCCCCGAGCCTAATAATAGTCCGGACCAGCCCTAAACACATGTGCCATTGAAGCCGAAGGAATACCCTTGATTGATCTTTCCGTGTTCAACTCAGCTGATGACATTGGTCTGGTTTCCGGCATAGGTGAAGCTTGTGAGATATGGGGCTTCTTCCAAGTGATCAACCACGGGGTGCCATTGGAGAAACGTGAGAAGCTTGAGAAGGCAGCCATGAATTTTTTTTTATCAGCCTTTGGAGGAGAAGGTGAAGATGAGGAGAGATGAAGTGAGGGTTTTAGGGTATTATGACACTGAGCATACGAAGAACGTTAGAGATTGGAAAGTGGTGTTTGATTTTCAAGTGCAGAGTCCAACCATATTTCCAGCTTCAACACCACGGGCGGGAAACTTGGTGGCTCTGTCCATTATTTTTCTAATTATTAATTAATATTAAAAATATATTTAAAAAAAATAAATAAAAAAACTGATCATACTCTCTCAATTAAAAAAGTTCTGTTTAGGAAAAATAAAAAATATGTTATTCTCCTTTATAGTAAATTCCTAGTTCTACTATTGTGACTCCATTTGTCGACATCAAACAGAAAAATTGGTGAACGTAAGTTTGATTAGAAAGTTGGTCGGTGCATTGAGATGTGTGATGGTGGAAGACGAAGTCAGGAAAATATATTCGATTTGAAGAAGAGCGAAAGAGGAAAGAAAATAATCGAGTAGAAAAAATCTATTAGGCTTTGATGACCATGTATTTATACAATGCAGCATTTACAAGTGATAGTATAAGTAGGAGAACAAGAAAATCTAATTATAGAAAGATAAGAAAAGTCAAAGGTTAAACCAAGTAAAGTTTATACAAGATAAAATTGAATTGAATAAGACTAGATTAGATTAATTGTATTAGATTGAATAATATAATCAAATCTTTATCTTTGATATTCACTCGAAGTCGATCCATCAAATCCATAAAAGGAAATTTCTCCAAACGATCCAACTTTATTTCTTCGTTCCAAGTGAAGTTTACAATAATGCATTTATGGAAGATATATGACGCTCGGGGATGTCTAAGGAAATGCAGACTATAAGGTTAAAAAACTACACAACCAGAAAAGTGAAAAAAAAAAATCTTAACAAAATAGGATTAGCGCAACTCGAAATGTTGACTTATATGTAATATATTAGATTGCAACTATTTTATAATAACTTAAACGAGTGTAACTGGTTAATGGCGGAACACAAAATGTTATAGTGTAGAACCAAAAAAGTTATCGATCGTAGTAACATAATATGTTTCACCCAAAATGTTATAAACACAAGAAAATAAATTATAAACGGTAAATAATATGGTATTATTAACATTTTAGGTTGCACCTAAAATGTTACTAGAGTTTAAGTTGATGGAGCCTAAGATTTACAACGATAACAGAATAAGTTAAAAGCTGAAAATATTATAAATATATATATGAAATCTAGTTGCGTCCAAAAATGTCATGGTTCACTAAGAGAGTAGGTTGCGATCTGGAATGTTATTAACATATTATCGTAGAAAATCTAAGGCTCCATAAGCTTAAACTCTGATAACATTTTATTATCGTTTATAACATTAGGTACAACATGTTATGTTACTAAGATTAATAACATTTTAGGTTCCAAATTATAATATTTTGTGTTTCGCTTTTCACGTGTCACCTATTTTTACCGGTCACGCCGTTTATTAGCCTTATTTTAGGCGTCTCACAACAGAACTTTCCTATGATGCATAGGGGTGGTTATCGAACGATTCGATCGCGAGTTGGTAGTTCTCAACTTATGCTCGTTAAAAAAAATATTGTTTGACCCGACTCGTTGCTCTCGTTAAGCTCGTTAAAATTTTGCTTGACTCGCGCTCATTAAAAAAATTGTTGCTCAACTCATTGCTCGTTAAGCTCGATACTCCTTGCTCGTCTCGTTGCTTGTTAAGCTCACTAAATTTTTTACCTTATTTTCTTAAATATATGTAAAATCTACTAATACTGTATAGAGCTTAATATAAACATAAATTAATAAATGTAACAAAAAAATTATAAAAAATGTATAAAACAATTTAAACTCCAAAGCAACAATCCATAAACACATTAAAATAATAAATATGGTTTGATTTTTTAGTGTAATAAAATATTAATCAATAATTTAGTATTTTTTTATTGTTTATTAGAAAATTCATACATTAGCAATTGATCATATTTTTTTATTATTTAATAGTAAATTAATAATTTTTAATAAAAATATTTTATTTTAAAATAACTATATATATATAATTAGCGAGATGCTTGCGAACTTATCGAGTCAAGTTGGATTTTATTCGACTCAACTCGTTAAGATCTTGAGTTGAGCTCAAATTAAATCAATCCGAGTTAAGTTTTTACCGAACTTTAACCGAGTCGAGTTTGAAATACTCACAAACTGCTTAACTCATTAAGCACCTTGACGCATACTTCTTAAATACGCTCCAACGTACGCACTTCTGAATGATTCAGCAAAACAGTGTTGAATGATTTAACACAGAAGTACATTCTGAATTATTCAGAGCCAGTTATCAAACAGCATGTCACATTCAGAGTCAAGCCATTCAGAGCCTCTGAATCATTCAGTATTTGAATCATTCAGCGCTTAATAATTCTGAAGTAAACAAACAGCCCCTAAGTGTATATTTTTATAATCAGGTCTACATTGCTTCCAAGTTGTTATGATTTGAAAGAGTAAGGTTATATTTGATTTTAGAAAATATTTTTTGTTTTTGTTTTATAAAATAATTTTTATTTTCAGTTTTTTGAAAATTAGAAAATATAATTGGTTAATATTAATGAAAAATTGAATTGAAAAATAAAAATAATAAAAATATATTTGATATCTAATTTCTTAAAATAGAGATGAACAAATAGTTATTAAATAATTAAATTAAAGTATAATTATTAAAAAAAATATATTACATAAATTTAACATGTGAGTTATGCAAATTGATAAAAAAAATCAAAACATAAAAATTCATAATAAATAGTTAATGCATATTAGATATCAATTAAATTAAAAAACTACACAAAAACACATTGTAAGCAAGAGCACACAAAAGTGTCATTAAAATTAAAAATAAGTTTAGTTGTATTTAAGGCCCTCAAATTTTTGGAGAAAAAATTAGTCTAATCCTATAACTTTTTTTGCACTAAATGTGACCTTTAAATTGAGGGGAAAAATCAATCTAACCCTTTGACTAGCGGAATCGAAAATTAACCGTCACAACGTTTACATGACAGTTGACAAAGTTTATATGATAATCTAGGATGATGATGTAATAGTTAACGATACTATTATGGCAGTATACAATGGATGATTATATGATAGGTGAACTTTTTTTATTAAGCTGAGAGCCTAATTGATTTTTTAGAAAGTTTGAGGACTTATTTAGGTTTTTTTTTAAATTAAGAAATTATTTGAAGTAAAATATAAAAAATTATTAAGATATTTAATATATTAAATATAAAAATACTATAATATTAAATTATTAAAAAATTAATTTAAAGACCACATTGAGTATAAAAAATTTAGGGACCATGTTTATTTTTTTGCAAAAGTTGGAGGGTTGCAGACATCATTAAATCAAAAAATTATTGTTAGAAGGATATCAATTTGTGTAAATTAAGTTAAAATTCTAGATCATGTGTTTTATATTTTTCAAAATTTTAGAATAATTTTAAGGAAAATATTAAAAATTATATTTTTTATGTTTTTATATTTTTACTCATTTTTATTTTTCATAAATCATATTCACATTTTATGGTCAAACACGTTTTCTTCAACATTACCTATTTTTTAAGAAATTGAAAATTTCTTATTTTTAAGAAATTGAAAATTTCTTATTTTTAAGAAATTGAAAATAATTTATATTTTCTATAACCAAATATACCCTAAATATCTTATAGTTTTAAAATCGAGGTTTAATTGTGCCATTAATATCGATGTTCTTTCAACTTAAAATTTAGTCCTTATATTTGTTTATTTTAAAAATTAAGTTTGTTAATATTGTTAATAGATTTGAACATGTGACATTCGAATATTAAAATGTATTTACACAAAACGAGGTCGAGAGCTCTGTATATGTGTAATTAGACCTGTAAAAGAGTTGAACGTTCAGTGAATCGTTCATGAACTGTGTAGCGGGAAGTTCATTTATGTTCGTTTATTTATTAAATGAACGAACATGAATAAGATTTTGCGTTCGTTTAATTAAATGAACGAACACGAACAAATGGCTCGTTCATTCATTTACGTTCGTGAACGTTCGATTATATGTCCGTTCGTTTATGTTCAAACAGAGGGCAAATTGAATATGTTACGAAGATTATTGAAGTTTGGATTTCAAGAATATTGTTTTGGTGAATAAAATAACTTTAAGACTTTATTATGTTCATATAACTTATTTATGATTTATGTATGTTTTTGTCGTATTCAAACAAATTGACTTTAAAGTTTCAGGTTATATTAATGAATTTTAAGTTGTTATTCTTGTTGTTTACTTTTTTTACATTCATTTGTTGTGTTCGAATAAGTTTTTGTGTGTGTTTGTGTTGTTCGTTTATGTTCGTTTACGTTCGTTTATGTTCGTTTATCATTTAAATGAACGAACATGAACAAACTATATTCCTTAATAAAAGAACACGAACAATTTTTTTTGTTCATTTATGTTCGTGTTCGTTTATGTTCATTTATTTATTAAATGAACGAACATGAACATACGTCCGTTCGTGTGCGTTCGGTTCGTTTACATGCCGTGCATATTCATCAATCACCTAATGAACGATGTCGTTTCTAACATTACAGAGAGGATAATTTCGTCAACTAATATAAAATCAACTTTGCCTTTTCTCTCTTAACGCACATTCTTTCGCTCTAAAAATTTCTCCCCTCGTTTCTATTTTTTTTTCTCGAGAAAAAACCTTTTATATTTCCCGTTATTCACCCCGTAAAACCCTAAACCTCCTTCTCCCTTTCTTCCTCCTCCAGAGATGTTGATGTCCGGGGCGTTGTCACGCGTCTCAAGGAGCGTCGGTGCACGCTCCTTGCTTCTCTCAGCTTCCAAGAGCCTTCAAACGCCAAGCTCTTCCACTCAGTTTCACTCTCTTATCTGTGAATATCCGAATAAGGTACATAAATATTTTCAGTGTTTTAAAAAAATCAATAAAACCTTTGATTTTTTTTATTAATTCTGAGAGGCTTTTAATAGGGTTAAGGATTTTGTTTAAATTGGCTCAATTTTGATGACTTGTTATATTTGTTCGTTTTTTTATTCTTTGTCTTTGTTTCACCATGTTGGAGTTCTCTGGGTTTTGGTTTGAAGTTAAAATGGCTTAAATTTATATGAAAGGGAGTGCCTTATATAAGCTTTATATTTGTTCTATTTTTTTCATGTTTATTTGATTATTATTTTCAATTTTTTACCAACTGCCTTAATGTAGTCATTAAATTGATAATTTATCATTTGATTGGGGTCTTGTTTGGTTCTAATGTTCACTGTTTTAGTCAGTAATTGAATGATCATGCAGGATTTTGGATCTTAAACTCATTTTGATTCCTACAAAATATAACCAAGTTCATAAAATTTGCATGCATTTTCTTTGTCTATGAAGGTGATTACAAGTGATGTATTTAAGCTGCAATATTCAACCCTAAATTTCTCTGCATTCCGACGATTTGGGGTCTCTTCATCAGCCTCCCCCGAACCTTCTGGAAAGGAACATGGGAGTACTGTAGAGAATAATGGTGATGATCCTGCAAAGGCAAGTGGGAATACGAATCCTGGAGAGGCCGAAGTTACAAAAGAATCAGGTTTTAACTCGGAGTCCCAAAATACAGTGTCTCAATCTGAAAAAGGGAGGAGGAGAGCCACTAAACGAACTGCATTTTCTGATTCGGATTCCGAGAGCAATGGTGACGCATCAATGGCTGATATGGTGAAACTTGTGGAGGAAAAAGAAGAGCTCCTGAATGCCAAGCAAAAGGAGATTGAACAAATGAAGGACAAAGTTGTTCGAACTCTTGCAGAAATGGAGAATGTTATAGTCAGGACAAGACGGGAAGCGGAGAACTCGAAAAAATTTGCCATACAGGTAGTGTTGGCGAATTAATAACCACTTGATTTCTAATTGGAATCTTTGGAAATGAGTGTAATTATTTGTTGATGTGCTACAGAATTTTGCGAAAGGCTTACTCGATGTTGCAGATAATTTAGCAAGGGCTTCTACACATGTTAAAGGCAGTTTCTCTAAGATTGACGAATCAAAAGACACTGCTGGAGCTGTACCACTCCTTAAGACACTCCTTGAAGGAGTTGAAATGACTGAGAAACAACTTGAAGAGGTAAGCTTTCTGTTATTTCGCCAATCAGGTCGTTAGTCTCAAAGCTTCCTATGATACTGTGAGGTCCCGTGAAGCTGAATTATTATAGTTTTATAATTGAATTTGTATGATTTGATTTCCTTTTCCGTTCCCTGTTAAAAGGGAAAATTTGATGAACTAAAATCACTTAAATCATAGGACTATCATAAGATTACTTGTTGTACTTGGTCATGTGCTTACTGCTTAGTTAATTATCCAAGTTGTGGTTTCTTCCTACATTGTTTTGATCTTCATTTTTCTTGAATATCCATGTTTGGCACATTGCCAAACATGGGTTCGGGGAGACGCATGAAAAGATTGAAGATACCCATGTTGGATATGTGCCCATATCTAACATCTACACCAGAGTCCGAGCAATATAGTTTTATTCTATCACTTTGACAATGTTTGACTTGTACATGTATTCTATATCGTATTACTAACCGGTTAGAGATGTTATTGCTTTCAGGTATTTAGAAAGTTTGGAGTGGAAAAATTTGATCCTACAAACGAACCATTTGATCCACACAGGCACAATGCAGTATTCCAAGTACCAGATAATTCTAAGCCTCCTGGAACAGTTGCTCATGTTTTGAAGGTATTATCTTATAATTGAACTTTATCAAAAGAGATCCATTTACCTATAGTTTGTTATAATTGATTCAGATTAATGTTTGATTCTAGAAATGGATTAGTTTCCGGTTACATTATTTATGTTTAATTACCATTAAATACATGTTTCTGTTCTTTATTACAGGCGGGATATATGCTCTATGATCGAGTTATTCGACCAGCTGAGGTCGGTGTTACTCAAGCAACAGATAATGATGCAACTGAGAATAGCACGAGTGACAAAGGCCCTGATGCTTGATGGTAGCTTAGGTAAGGTTTTAAATGGCAAATTTTCAAAAACTTTTACCTTCGTGATAAAGAATTATACACATTTAAGGGTTATCAGTCACTTCTTTCACTACTTATAGAAGACATGTGCTCGTAAGTTATTCGAATTTGGTTCGACCATTTATCTAGCTGAGCCTGAGCTTGAGTAGTTCAAACTACCGACTGAGTTGTTCAAGTCGAGAGCTTGATTTTTTGTTTTCAACTTTGAGCAAGCAAGATATTCATAGTTTTCGAAAACAGTACATGTTTAACCTTTGATCTCTTCGCGCTCCACAATTTTGATACATTGGTATGATGTAGAACAAAAACAGGCTCGAATTGAACAAGTAAATAACGTTGGATAACCAGCCTAACCTTTTCTTTAACCATTCGAACCAGCCACAGCAGAAGCCATGAGATCGAACACCATGAAGTTTTTATACTTAATTTAATATAATTTGGTCCTCTTACTATTGTTAATGGTAGATTTTAGTCTGGATCGTTGAAAAGTACCGTTACTTGATTGATGGGTATTAAAAAATTCTCTAGCAACAGGATAAGATAGGATAGTATATGATAGGAGGATCAATTTATATCAAATTGAAATGTAAGATTAAATCCTCAAATTTAGCTTAGTTCAGGGACAAATACCACAATTCAACCAATTCCACAATCATCCTTTGGCGATTCTTACTGCAATTGATTATTTCCATCTTTCAAATGCACTTGAGTTACTGCAATGACTAAGTTGGAAAAATGAGTGCTCTGCAAAAATAAAAATATTGACTAGAAAAATGATTTGATGTGAATTAGAATGAAGTTTAATTGTGTTGTGGTCTAAATCACTTGAACAAATATATCATGATTGGTGTAATTGTTGAAAAGAACGTCATTCTCAACGTTAATATAATTCTTCAATATTCATACACTAAAATGATATACAAATCACTTAATATTGTTATTTTCGGAAAGATGGGATTGAGGTCGGAAATATTTTTCTTTGATGTTCAACAATTAAAAAACAAATTTATACAAGGAGAGGTAGGAGAGAAATTACTATGATTGTTTTATCTTTTAGAAGTGAAAAAACAACTTTTAGTTATACACGGTTGAACATATATTTTGATATAACGAATAAAGGTAAAATCTTTTTGAACTTAATTGAATTTGTTTAAATATTTTAAAAATAATTCAAAGTCCAACAAACTTGAAAAATATGTTTCAAAGTTTTTAACCTTAAAAATACGTGTAACTCAGTATCAATACTGTGATGCTAAAAAAGTCAAAATTGAGCTTGTAAAGGCTATATTTTGAAGGAGTATCGATACTTACACTAGAGTATTGATATCACTGAGTACAAAGACCTAAAATTGCTAAAAATTTTACCTCCAAAATGCTCCAAACGTCCTCCAACGACTACAAACTCATTCCTCCTTATAAATCTTTAATGTTCATCTTTTGAGAGTTTAATTGTGCAAACACATTTGCCTTGTGAGATTTTTTCCTTGTTTGCTAAATTTGTATCTCTCTAAGGGAAAATGTAACTCATAGTTTTGGGTATAAACTTTGAGAAAAATGTAAGGTTACACTTTGTCCTCAAAAGAAAGACAAATTAACGAATTTGTGAAAAATCCTTAGTGTGAATAGCTGAGGTAGTGGATGTAGACTTCATTAAGGAAGTCGAACCACTATAAATCGTTACGTTAATTTTTTATCTTTTGGTTTCTTCCACCACATTATCTTGTTTGCTAATTCAACAACTTCTTAACTGTTTTTTATTGATCGGTTCGAGCTCAAAAAACTCAAATTGAGGGAAAAAGGATAATAACAATAGCACTTATAAAAATAATTAATTACCATAAATATTATTTTAATGATTATAAATTATTTTATTATTTTATAACATTTTGTAATTATATAATATAAATTATGATAAAATATTCTATTGATATATTTTAAAAAACATACAAATCAGATTGAACCAAGCTAGATAGTTCTTACCTAATGTAGATTTTTTTTTGCATTGCCAATATTCTTCCACTAATTAAGAATATTTTTTAGAAAATCAAGAAGATATTTTGAAGTAAAACATGAGAAGAGTAATAATAAAATTATTCGCTTAAATACTAATGAACGTACATAAAATTAATACGTAGTGAAAATGGACAATTCTTCTCTTTAATAAGTGAATGAATTTAGAACTTGATAAGATACGAGAAAACTTGTAAGAAATAATTAACTTCATTCATCAATTGGAATATGTAAAAATCAATAGTTTAGTCAATTCATCTCATAATGTTGGTAATGCTCCAGAAAGATAATCCAATATACGTACATAAATTAATACGTAGTGAAAATGGACAATTCTTCTCTTTAATAAGTGAATGAATTTAGAACTTGATAAGATACGAGAAAACTTGTAAGAAATAATTAACTTCATTCATCCAATTGGAATATGTGAAAAATCAATAGTTTAGTCAATTCATCTCATAATGTTGGTAAATGCTCCAGAAAGATAATCCAATATTTTTTTATAGAAGATGAATAATTCTTCACTCTTACATTGGTAATTTCATTAAGTTTAGCTTAATATAGACCATCTAAATATGGATTATGAAAATCATTAAGAACATTTTTTTAGGATTGTCCTTTCAATTTTAGTTATGGTGAATTCACCAAGTTCTTTTCAAAAGAACCGCCCAACCTTTGAGATATAAATTCATTAAGAATAAAATTTAACTTTTCTTATTGGTGAGTTCATCAAGTCATTCTCAATAGAAACACTAAATATATAAGATATGAACTCATTAAGAGTAGAAAATTTTGTAACACCCAAATTCGATCTGACCTGAAATTTGAAAGATTTGATAGCACATTGAACCAACAAAGTGGCTAACCATTTTTTTGAAAACATTTCTCAAAACATAAGTAAATCATCCATAAATTTAAACATAAGAGTTTAAGGTTTACAAGTGGGAAGCTCCCAAATAGCATTCAAAATAAACATTCAAGTTTTAAACAAAAAAGTTGCGACTCAATTTTTTATAGAAAGATCTATGAAAATACATACCCTCTAAAATAACTGAGACATACTCTATAGTTCTACAGAATCTGGAATCCACAAATATGGCAATAAGCTCCTCAACCGACACCTATTAACCTGCGCATGGAAACAAATTCTTAATGTTGAGCTACGAGCTTAGTGCCACACATATAACTCTACTATACTACATGCATCCATCAAGTATGTAAAATAACAAGTATGGTCATGCGACAACAAAATGCACCAAGCATGAGACATAACAAAATATCACACACACACACACACACACACACACACACACACACACACACACACACAACACACACACACATATTATGATATGTAAATTTTTGCCTTGCCATCAATTAACGAAAGTGCCTTAACACTGGTACTAAAGTGTCTCAACACTATTAGGAGAATACTTGGATATCTCATTCATATTTATTAAGTGAATGTCATTCATTTGAGTAGTTCAGGTGTCCTCATTGTTTCCTGAACATCACATAAGAGTTTAAGTCTTAAGTATAATTCCTTTATAACATTTGTTTACTTCTCATACAACATTTGGGTTTTCACTTTCAAGCTTATTAGAGTAGTTATGGATATTCGAACCCTTTCCAGACTCTTAACCAAAAATTAGGCTTCTTACCCAATTCGGTATGTACCAACACTGACCCCCTTTAGTATCTATATTGACCCTCTAATATCGATACCGACCTTTGGTATTGATACCGAATTAGACTACTGGAATTTGAGAAAATTGACAATATCGATACTCTTACTTGGATATCAGTACCTCAGTACTAGGGTATTAATACCATCATAAGTATCAATACCAAAATTAGGTTTAATGTTTTATTTTAATAACTCAATATCAATACTTTTACTTAGGGTATCAATACCATAACGTCCCGATTCTTGGGTTAGTAGTTTCAGGCAAACTCAAACAAGAGTTAATTAAACCCATTAGGCCTACAAGAAGTTTTTGTCTAAATAAGAAGTGGTTTGGGCTTGGGTTGAGCCCATTATGGTTAGAAAAAGGGTATTTTTGATTTGGGGTAAATCTAGAAATGACCAAATCAACAATTTACCTCCTTGTTTTTAAGGCTGAAAATCTTAAATGGGGATGAAGTCACCCATGCAAAACATCTTTTTTTTTTCATTCTTCTTTGCCTTCTTCCTATTATTATCATTTTCATTTTCTCTCAAGTGGAAGCTAACAAATGAGAAATTTTTATAATCCATTATTCCTAGTTCGAAATTATGAAAATAGGTTTTGAAATCCTCTTCCTTAGATCTTTAATTTGAGCTCACAACCTTGGAGTTTGGCCATGGTGCTCATGGTTGTGTTTAAGAAGGGTTTTGTGTTTTAGAGCTTGCATGAGGCTCTAAATCATTCTTAAAGCTTAGAAACTTCATTCTTACATTTCTTAAGCTCCTAGATGAGTTAATAACTCATTTCCATTTTTCATTCTAGTTAGAGAAGTGGGTGAAAGCTCAAGGGTGAAAGACAAAGAGAAAGATATGCTTGAGTGAGCTTGAGGTGGTTTCCACAACTCCTAAGTGTAAGGTAACACACGTTTAACCTTTCCTTACTACTTTTAGCATGTTTAGTTTTGATGCTTGTATGAGTGTGGGAACCATTTGGGTGCATTTGCAGGTTCAAAGCATGAAAACAGGAAATTATTGTGAATCATGCATAAATTAATGATATTTTATGACCCTTAAGCACTAAATAAGCTTTAGAAGTCTTTTGGGGGCCTTAGGGACATTTTAAGAGTGAATTGGAAGGTTTTAGTCAAGAAAAACAAAGTTTTTTAGTCCAATGGTATCGATATTGTATGAACAGTACCCATACTGCTCGTCGAGAGTGGGCAAAATTCAAAGAGTTTGTGAGGAGGGTATCGATATCCCATTATGGAGTATTGATACTACTCATGCGGTATCAATACTTAGAGGCCTAGTATCGATACTCAGGGACTTGGTCAGATTCTATCGGTAATCATGGAAGTATTAATACCCATGGTAGAGTATCGATAGTCTCAGTAGGGGTACTCATAGAAGTATTGATACTGAGGGTAAGGTATCGATACTCTTGGGG